CTGCTGTGTTCCTCCAGCTCCACACCTTGTTATCTCTTTTCTAGCCTTCCTGCTTTTGAAGTGCTGTTCATACCTATGTCAGTGACTGCCTATGTTACTCAAGGCAGTTCCCAGCAAGTATAACAGAGTTAAGAACAGCAAGGACTCTGGTCCAAGAGTTCAGATTGCAGGGGCTCAGCATTAAGTTTGAAACACTATCTGGAAACAGGAAAAGTGTCAGAGGACTGGAGGACAGCTGATATGGCACCATTATTCAAGAAGCGTGATTGGGATAAACCAGGCAACAAGGGACCAGTAAGCCTAACATCAGAGGCAGGGAAACTATTGGAAAAGATAAAGTGGCACAGAATTAATTTGCACTTGGAGGGGCAAGGATTAATCCAGGATAGTATGGCTCTGTATAGAGAAGATTATTCAAAAATTCCCAGAGGATTGGAAAGCTGTGAATGTAACAGTCTTATTTGAAAAGGAAAGGGACAGGACAGGGAAATGACAGGACATAATGGCACAGTATTTAGGAATATATAATACGATCAAGCAGAGTCAGCATGGCTTCAGAAGAGGACATCATTCCTGAGAAATTTACTAGAATTCTTTGAGGAGGTAACAGGCAGGACAAATAAAGAGGATGTTATATATTTTGATTTCCAGAAGGCACTTGATAAGGTATCACATGTTAGGCTACTTAAAAGGATAACAGCCCATGGTAATGGAGGTAGTGTATTAGCATGGATAGAGGATTAGTTAATAGCAGACAGAGAATTAGGATAAAGGAGGCATTTTCAGGCTGACTCCCTGTAACCAGTGGGATCAGTGCTGGGCCCACAATTATTGACAATATGTATTAATGATTTGGATGAGGGAAGTGAATGTACTAAAGCCATGTTTGCAGAAAACACAAAAATATTTGGAAAGGCAATTCAATTTTGGTATCTCTGCTATAGGAAAGACGTTGTTAAACCCAAAAGGGAACAGAAAAGATTTACAAGGATGTTGCTGGGGTTGGAGGGTTGGAGAGGCTAAATAGGCTGGGGCTATTTTCCCTGCAGAATCGGAAGCTGAGGGGTGACCTAATAGAAGTTTACAAAATCATGAGGGGCAAGATCTTTACCCTGACGTAGGGGAGTCCAAAACTAGAGGGCATAGGTTTAAGGTGAGAGGGGATAGATATAAAAAGGCAAATTTTCACGCAGAGGGTGGTGTGTGTACATGGAAAGAGCTGCCAGAGGAAGTGGTGGAGGCTGATACAATTACAACATTTAAAAGGCATCTGGATGGATATATGAATAGGAAGGGTTTAGAGGGATATGGGCCAAATGCTGGCAAATGAGACTAGATCAGTTTAGGATATCTGATCGACAAAGACAAGTTGGGCCGAAGGGTCTGTTTCTGGGCTGTACATCTCTGTGCCTCCATCTTAAAGGAGGAAAATGAGGTGGAGAGGAGGGAATGTTTAACAAGATATAGGAGCAGAAGTAGGCTATTTAACCCATCAAATCTGCTTCAACATTCAATGAGATCCACCTGCCTGTCTTTTCTCCGTACTGATTAAAGATCGGCCTGTCTCACCTTTGGTTATACTTCTATTAAGGGAGGAAATGCCAGAGATTTGAGCTGAGATAGCTGAAGGTACAGCCACCAATGTTTTTTTTTCAAAAACAAACTCATTCATGGGATGTGGGTGTCGCTGGCTGGCCAATCTTTATTGCCTGTCCCTAGTTGCCCTTGAGAAGGTGGTTGTCAAATGCCTTCTTGAACTGTTGCTTCAGGAACTGAGAAGTTGCAAATGGTGTCAAACATTGCACAATAAACAGTGAATATCCCCACTTCTGACCTGATGAAGCAGCTGAAGATGACTGGGCATAGGTGGAGCAACTAAAATCAGGGATACTCAGGAGACCAGAATTAAAGGAGCAAAGATATCTTTGAGAATCCTGGGGCTGGCGGAGATTGGAGAGTAGGAAGGTGCATGGCCATTTGGTGATTTGAAAGCAAGAATGATAATTATGAACTCAAGGCATGGTTTGACTAAGAGCCAATGTGGATCAGGGAGCAAGATTTGGGATGAGTTAGGAGATAGACAGCAGAGCCTTGGATGTCCTTGGGGCTATAGAGGGTAGAACATGGTTGGCCAGGGAAAGACTGAAATGGCCAAGTGCAGCAGGAGCAAAAAGCACGGATAAGTATTTCAGCTGCAGATCAGCTGAGGCATCCAGAGAGTTGGACAACATCAGAATCTTAGTGGCCACGTGGATATGTGTTAGAAAGTTCGATCTTGGGGTCAGACAGGACATTAGGGAATCAGATTCAGCTTTAGGAAACTATTTATTCAAGCTAAATTGCCCTGTGTTACCTGAACAGAGTTATTAATCTGATTAAATTAAATAGGGTTAATGTATTCATTAATTTTGTTGTGTTCACTTCCAATATTGAGCAGAACATTTTTAGCCCAATTAAAAGATTTTTTTGAAAATCTTTTTGCAATCTTTTTGCAAATTAGATGCATTTTCCCACCTACATGGAGGCATTCAATTCCAGTGAGAACTGCCCAGGGATAACACAGACAGGGGCCAGTTACAGGATGCACCAGGCAAAGTACAAGGGACAATGTGGCACTTTCTGCCAGTTTCAATTCTTTACCTTGGCACCGAACACCATCCACCAGCTGGAAGCCACCTGGACACGTGCATGTAAAGGAGCCAGCATTGTTGATGCACACACCTCCTTGGCAAGTATCCAAGTTTTGTTGGCATTCATCTATGTCTGCAACAAATACGTTCAGAAAGCTGTTATATTGACATTGCCTCTAAATCTTACCAACAGAATCCACATTATTTATTGCTCCCTCACTAATGGAACACCCACACTTCGAGCAATAACTGTCTTTGCGTGGTTCCCAAAGACATAGAGCTAGCCTCCAGCACTTCATTTGGTTACATTGTCTGCAACTTTAGCCTAAGTTTTGAAGAAACAGCGTTCGCCAAAAGAAAAGACCTTCTTCCTCATCAGACTGAGTAGCAATGAGCTGTATTTATTGTTCAAAACAGCTGAAGGTGCATAAAGGACGTGGACTCCAGGTAAAAATGGACGGTTTTTTATTGAGGTTTTAAACGCTGTTTCCCTAATCTAAATTGAGAGACAGACTTCATTCTTCATCAAAAAAAAATTACTGGAACAGGCTGACGAACATTTCATTCCACCTGGAGCCCATTTATCATGGCTGTACCCAATAAACGGGGAGCATGTTTTTCTTTCTGGTGCCTGGGTCCAACACACACAAAAAAAAATCAAGGCAAAGAAAGGGATGGAGAATAAAAAGTACTACCTCACAAATGAAACTGTTTAGCTTTCTTTTTGAGAAGCTGACAGAATTATGGTACAGCATGGACAAAGGCCATTCGACCAGTCAGGGCTATGTTGGCTCATTAAATGAAGAATCCTGCTCAGTCCCACATTCCTGATTTTAGAATCTGGAACCTATGAGTTCCACGTTCTAGTTAAGTTTGCCGATCAGATCAGCCCACACCGATTTTTCAGGTGGAACATATCCCAGATCCTCAGAACCACTGAAACCGTTTCTCTTCAACTCTCCTCAAAATCTCCTGCCAAAAATTTCAAATCGACCCTTATAGAGCCACAACCCAGAGGAAATACTTTACCACTATCAGCTGTCACAAAACCTCTCATTCTCTCTCAAGTGTCAATAGAAGGTTGGTCTTTCAGACTTCAGTGATGAAGATCCCAATGCATGGACTAATTAAGCACCAAACACTCGTTTTGAGCCTAATGGTCTCTAAGAGTCATACAGTCATACAGCACGGAAACAGACCCTTAGGTCCAACTCATCCATGCTAACCAAGTTTCCCAAACTAAACGAGTCCCATTTTCCTGCAGTTGACTCTTATCCCTCTAAATCTTTCCTATTCATGTACCTATCCAAAAATGGCTTTTAATTGTTGTAACTGTACCCACATCCATCACTTCCTCTCGAAGTTCATTCCACACATGAACTACCCTCTGTGTGAAAAAGTTGCCCCTCAGGTTCCTTTTAAATCTTTCTCCTCTCACTTCAAACCTATGCCCTCTGGTTTTGAATTCTCCAACCCTTGGGGCAAGATCATTGCAATACACCCTATACGTGTCTCTCATGATTTATAAACCTCTATAAGATCACCCCTCAACCTCCTACGCTCCAGTGAAACAAGTCCTAGCCTATCCAACCTCTCCTTATAACTCAAACCCAGCAACGTCTTGATAAATCTCAGACACCTGGGAGAAATCCAAGCCCTTCCAAGCATCCCTCCATCTCTCCATGCATCTTTCTCCTAAAAAATTTCATGTTGTAAATATTTTACTCCATTTCAAATAGTGGCTGGATATATTATACTGGGAAACAACAAAGGACAATTAACAAGAAAAACAGAAGTTGCCAGAAGCTCAGCAGGCCTGGCAGCATCTGTGAACAAAAAAGAACAAACAGATTCTGAGGAAGGGTCACCGGACCTGAAACGTTAACTCTGATTTTTAATTCACAGATGCTGCCAGACCTGCTGAGCTTTTCCAGCAACTTTGTTTTTGCTCCTGATTTGCAGTTATTCCAGTTTTTAAAGGACACATTTTACAGGGTGACGCCAGAGCGACTGTGTGATTTTTATGCAATATTCACCTTGTGTTACAAAACTGCCAGCTACTGCTTTGCCATTGAAATTGGCCCTGCTGAGCTAAATGTTGTCCTATCATGATGGATATTACCAAAGAGAGATTTCTACAAACACATAAGCTGGTGCAAGGCCAGTGAAAATTCAATCCAACAAGAGTTCCTCTGAGAGTACTCTACCAAATTCTTGATACCTTCACACTGGTCCCCTGTAGCGGTCAGATGGTAACCCAAGTCGCATTCACAGTAGAAGGAGGCCTCTGTATTTGTGCATTGCCCATTGGTGCACAGAATGGCATCTTGACACTCATCCACATCTACACCAAAGAAGAAACAAATGAGACATTTCTCCTTCCAACTCGTTACAAGCTTTATTTCACTAAAGGAGAATGCCCTGATCAATCTCTGGACCAGAAACCAAAATTGGGCAAGTATGCAAAGAGGCAGGATTTTTTTTTTATTATAGAATCCCTACAGTGTGGAAACAGGCCTTTTGGCCCAACAAGTCCACACTGATCCTCACAGCATCCCACCCAGACCCATCTCCCTGTAACCCACCTAATCTACACATCCCTGAACATTATGGGCAATTTCCCATGGCCAATTCACCTAGCCTGCACATCTTTGGACTGTGGGAGGAAACCGGAGCACCCGGAGGAAACCCACGCAGACATGGGGAGAATGTGCAAACTCCACACAGACAGTGGCCTGAAGGTGGAATTGAACCCGGGTCCCTGGCGCTGTGAGGCAGCAGTGCTAACCACTGGGCCACCGTGCAATCTGCCCCATCAAATTACCACCAAACCACTGAAGACAAAAACTGTTCTCTTTATGGTTCTCAATATCAATCAGATATTACAAAGTTTTTTTTGACACCTCGATATACTCAGAGATACCCTAGAATGCAATGCTTGAACTTTGAGTTTTGGAAAGGAATTGCATAGATAATTGAAGAAGAAAGATATTTTTTGAGCTAAGGGGAATGAGATGGAGGCTGGGCTGATTGGCTAGTTCCTTCAAAGAACAAGCACAGGAACCTAGTGGCTGAATTTTTTTTAATTTATTCGCTCGTGCAACATGGGCATTGCTGGCTGGCCAGCATTTATTGCCCATCCCTAGTTGCCCCTGAGAAGTTGGTGGCACCTTCTTGAACCGCTGGATTCATATCCAGTAGGTAGACCCACAATGCCCTGAGGGAGGGGATTCCAGGATTTTGACCCAACGACAGTGAAGGAACAGCGATATATTTATGGTGAGTGACTTGGAGGGGAACTTGCAGGATGGAAGTCGTCATGGGTTTGGAAGATACTGTTAAAGGATCTGTTGGGAATTTCTGCAGTGCATCTTGTAGATACTACATACTGCTGCTACGGAGCACCAGTGATGAAGGGAGTAGACATTTGTGGATTTGATGCCAATGAAACCAGCTGCTCTTCCCTGGATGGTATCCTGCTTTGTGAGTATTGTTGGAGCTGCACCCATCCAGGCACGTGGGGAGTGTTCCATCACACTCCTGACATGAGCCAGGTAGTTGGTTGACCACACACACACACACGTGCACACGCACACACACACACACACACGCATGCACACACGCGCACGCACAGACACACACATGCGCGCGCACACACACGTGCACACACGCGCACACATACACGTGCACACGTGCGCACACGCGCACACACACATGCGCGCACACACACGCGCACACGCACACAGACGCATGCACACAGATGTATGCACACACACACGCGCACACACACGCACACGCACACACACGCACACAGACGCATGCACACAGATGCATGCACACACACACGCGCACACGCACGCACACACACACACGTGCACGTGCACACACACACACAAACACACACACAATAAGGCACACGTTTATGGTGAGAAATGGCAAATGGTGGCAGGAGTATGTCTTGTGTAATGTGAGCAAAGAATGCAGGTATGGTGAAGATAGAACAGGAGAAATGGCCCATCGAAGGAATTACAGTGGGATGATGTAGCTCTTGAAGTCAGTTAACTGGCACAAAACAAGACACCAATCAAGTTTGATAGGGGACCTGATGGAAATTGGCTGCTGGAAATTATGGGATTGGGTCAAATTCTGTCAGGACTGAACCCCTTCAAACAACAGGGAGTGAAGTTTCTCCCAAACTTGCTTTGAAAAAAAGCCAAACAAACGTGTAACCAAAATAATAAACAAATTCTTCAAAGGAACTTGATTCCCTTTGGTGTCTTCTGTGAACTCAATATTTCACAAATTAGCCAAACACAGCAGCTCATTTTCCACACAGCAAGATGTAGACATCAATTGAGGTACATGGCAAGACAATGTTTTTAGTGATGTTCACTAAGTGATAAAAATTGATGAGAACATTGCAACAGCCTCCCTCTGCTCTTCTTGGAAAACAATGCCATGGGATCTTTTACAAACACCTGAGGGAACAAAAGGCTCCTGGATTTAAAGCTTCACCTGAGACACTTCGTCCAATAGACACTGAGGGCTTGGCCTCCACTGTGTTCCTAAATCTCTGCACTGGAGCTTGACTCCATGGTCTTCTAACCGGGAGATAATATCACTAAAACCAAGGCTAACACTGAATGGTGATTATATTCTTAGGCTTTCAATTCTACACTGGCTTAAATTTGATGGGGCAGCATGATGGCTCAGTGGTTAGCACTGCTGCCTCACAGTGCCAGGGGCTCGGGTTCGATTCCACCCTCGGGCGACTGTCTGTGTGGCGTTTGCACATTCTCCCCGTGTCTGCGTGGGTTTCCTCCGGGTGCTCCGGTTTCCTCCCACAGGCCAAAGATGTGCAGGCTCGGTGGATTGGCCATGCAAATTTGCCCATAGTGTTCAGGGATGTGTAGATTAGGTGGGGTATAGGGCGATGGGTCTGGGTGGGATGCTCTGAGGGTCAGTGTGGACTTGTTAGGCCGAAGGGCCTGTTTCCACACTGTAGGGATTCTAAGAAGATCTCAAATGGCATGTGGAGGTTTGAGTGGTTGCCAAGTCCTTCCTCCCTAGGTACTGGGATGGAGAGACAGGGTGTAGAACCTTCTAGAACTGTACTCCTCCATCTCCTAGCGGTCAGCTCCAGTACAGCTGCAGGTTGTCCAACCTCCTTGTCTAGAGTTTGTCAATTACGTAGGGAGATCAAAAGAGGGGAAGTGTTTCTTTCACTAAAACGTTGGCTTGGAGGCTTCTGTGTCCTTCAGGACCCCGGTCTGGAGATAAAATAGGGGTCCCAGGGCACACATTTGCTGGTGCACAGACACGGGGAACTACTTTCCCGAAGGTATCCTCTTACCTGGCCAAGCCCAGTGTCCCATTAAGGATGGCAGGCAGGCTCCTAATGATGCATGCCCAATCACAGGGCAGCTAACAGCCAGAAAGCCTTGTCAGGCCCAATGAGAGATGTGGGCACTGCTGAGGCAGAGCAGAAAACACAGGAATGCCTCCAAAAGAAATTGCCCTCAAAGGTCTGGAGGGTGGGGGGACAGTAAATTTGCAGTCAAATCTCAGTGGGATCGAACTGGTTGAGCGCTGCTGAGGAAACCCCTCCTGCACAGTGCTTGGGTCATGGCTGTGATCTTTGTAGCTGGCTGCTCACCTTCAGGGATGAAGTCTCAGGTTCCAACATCCTCCTCCCCAACCCCAACCTGCCACAGGGAGTCTGCCTCCATTGCAATTGTGGCAGCTGGAGAGGGAGTGCCATTGCTGGCAGGCACAAATAATTGCTTTAATTGGGCCTTTAATTACTACAGTTAGCTCCCTGCGTTGAGGAGGTGACTAATACAAATCCTCGGCCACTCCCTGGAAATGTGACTGGCGATAGGAACACTTTGAGGAGGGAGTCAAACTGCTGATAGGCAGCTGGTTCAGGAGGAGACCAGATCCTGACTCAATTTCAAATTTATTCAAAGAAATAATCCTTACAAACGCTCAGCTCCAAAATCCAATCAGACATTGAAGCTCATTAACTAATCCACAGTCAGTTAAAGGAGCGCTCTAACAAATGCAAAATTTCAAAGTTTGAAACAAATTGCCATTTCTGGGCCTGATCATGTACTCCAGCCCCTGTGGTGCCCATAGGTCATGGAAAACCTCAAGCGTACCAGCGGCCATGGCACGCTCCCTCTTCAGGAACACCCAATCGTGAAGGGTCACTTTATACACACTCAGGTAATCATCTAACAAATGCATGCCATAAGTATCCACTGAATCTTAAATCTGTACAGTTTTCAGGGCTATCATCTTGAGGTGGCTTCCTACCAGAACCCCGCTGCCAAGCCCATCCTTACTGTCAATCAAACGCTCCCATTTCAGAAACTAAACAATTTGACTGCTTTACTTTGGAGACCTGACGCTAAACAACGTGGCCATTTGAGACTTTAATGCCTGCAGGAATGGTTACCTTTGCACAGTTTGCCATCGGGGGATGGTTCATAGCCTCGGTTACAGGTACAGATGTAGGCCCCCTCTAGGTTCGAACATCTGCCGTTTGCACAGGTCGATCTGTTGAGGCATTCATCAACATCTGGGAAAACAGGATCACAAGAAGCAGGCATCAAACTGGACTTTGAGGACAATGCAGACAAACCACGGCCAATTTCAAACAGGTAACACGAGACAACGCACATCAGAATTGAACAAACAGCCCCGGAGAGCAGGGTGAATGATAAAAAGACAAAGAAACACTTGGAATGCTGTTTCAAAAATTATCTGCTGACACATTTATCATGGAACATCTGCAGCATCCATCTACCGCACCATTCAAGAAACAACTGTCCAGATGGGTCTCAAATTGCGTTTTTCCCAGCATGCGACCATATGTCCTATTTGTAACAGGAAACTGAAAAGAGATACAGTTGATTCCCGATGAGCCCCGAGCTGGTTTGCCAGGAGTGATTAAGTTTGGATCAGGCTTTCTGCACCTGCCTTCAAATCACAATTGCTAATGTTTGTACCTCAGGGCATAGAATCCAAATGTAAATGTCACATTGCATTTGTGATGACAGAGGAAGAAAAATTTGTTCAACCTAAAATTATACTTAACAAAGTATTGTAGGTCAAAACTAATGCATTTGTTTCAGCAGATCTCTTGAATGGCTTTGTTCACATTAAATTGGAGAATTGACTATGGCCAGTAAGTGATGTGGCAACTATAGTGGAACAGATTCTATCTTCTGTGATGTTACACATAATAAGTTAGAGGATATGATCTCTTCCTTAGCTACTTCTGTCTTCATGTTCATGTTTCCTCTCTCTCTCTCTCTCTGTCTCTGTCTCTGTCTATCTCTCTCTTTCTATCTCTGTGCCCCCTATTTTTCTTTTTTTACAGCTTACTTCCCAGCTCTTTTTGCCTCAGCGCCTTCTTCTCTATCCTTTCTCCTGTGCTTATACAGGCATCCAAAACAGGTTACACACAGCCACAGCAACTGAGATGGAGATAACAGGGGGTAAAAATGGCTAATAGGATGTCCTTGTCCCCATTAAAATGTTGTGTCTCTTTATAACAGAGAAATATTGTGAATTGTTGACTGAAACAGGTCACTGATAATGAACATTGATAATTGATGTGAGGGGTGACCCAAGAATTGTTATCAGTCTATTCGATTTTAAGAATAGGCTGCTTACCACCAGAAACAGTAAGCATTGAATCAATCAGCAAGAAATTGCTTCAGGCACTATGAAAATCACTTAACCAGGAGAGAGGAAGACTTGAGATTGGGTACAATCCTGGGGCAAAAGGGAATTTTCACAAATGTGGGCACTTGATCACTCATCACAACAGACAGATATCTGGCGATATCTTCACAATAAAACTCAGACAAAATAGAAAGGGGGGAGACAAAATCCTCACACTGATCAGATGGTGCCTGTTTGTATGAACACAACCAGAGAATGTATTCATCAAGGTTCAAGAAGCAGGGAGTTGTACTCGAAAGCCAAAGTAAATATTGGCTTTTGGCTGGTCCAGATACTTAGCAAAAAAACCAGAAGAACTCAAGGCATTAATTCACAGATTAGGAACTGCCACTATTAAACTGGCCATGCGTTTATCAATGAGATTGAAAGTGCTCATGGCACAACCTGCAGGATTTCACTAAAATTCATGGGAGAAGAAGCAATGAAATTTACTGCTTGAATAAATCAATGGCATTGGAGAGGCACAATTACACAGCAAAGTGGATGTTTTTAAGGGAATTTTTGTTTGGAATATTCAGAGCTCACCTGTAATGATACTCTCACTATCAATCACCCAGATTCAAATCACTAACCACAGAAGTCTTGAAACTGGGATAAAACATCTCCCGATATTCATACATCATGACACTATACTCCCTCTCTACCCTGGTAAATATTTATGTCTATCAGACTGTAAAATGTCAATATTGTTAGATTTGGCAGCACAAGGTACTTGAGGGTAGAATAGCAAACTCATAAACAGCTATGAAGTGGTCACATACTGCCAAAGCCAGTGCAGAGCATGTGAAAGACTTCATTAAAAAAGAAATATATTGACTTTGTGTTAATCCAAGTGACAGACCCCTTTGTCAACTTGTATGGTGTATAATAGTGGAGTGTGCTCAGAGTGTTAGTGTATGTGTGCTGGTTAATTCTCCAAGCCTTCACCCATTCATCTTTCAAAGGTGACTTGCTGCAACATTTTGATAAGGTTAATTCAGCAGCTTAGTGTTTCATAAAGTCAACAGACTTTTTTTGTTGCATTTACGGTCCACCAGAGATAACCAACCTGCTACCTGTTTGAAAGGACCCTTGAATCTTCCTCACAGAGTGACGACTGTGATTATTTTCTGGAAATCTACTTTTAAAATGAGTGTTCTGGATTTTGTCAGCAGGCTTAAGGTGCAGAATGATAGAGATCTGATGGTGAGTTACAAATTGAGCAGTTCCCTTAAGCAGTTCAATTATCATAATATCAGTAAGCCCCTTCCTCCGTTCTCCTCGCATCTGACTTACTATCTCAAACCGTGTATAAAAATGACAAATCATCCATTTTTTATGTTAGACAAGTCACTCGTATTTTGTTTGGATACATATTGCTCAATGGGATGGTCAGCAAATGGTAAAAGAAACTGCTGCAGGAGCTGAATGTGTGATTAGTACCAAAAAAATTTTTACCTTACTATTTTAGCAACTAGAGGACAACGCACTGTAGACAATGTAAGTTATAGTGAATATTTCATAGCAGGATAAAAACTAAAAGAACTGCATATGCTGTAAATCAGAAACAAAAACAAAAATTGCTGGAAAAGCTCAGCAGGTCTGGCAGCATCTGTGAAGAGAAATCAGAGTTAACGTTTCAGTTCTGAGGAAGGGTCACTCAACCTGAAACAGTAACTCAGATTTTTCTCCACACATGCTGCCAGACTTGCTGAGCTTTTCCAGCAATTTATTTTTTATATCATGGCAGAATGTAGGATACATTATTAAAGTGAAAAATTGTTTATGCCAAAAGTTAAATTCACCATTCCTTGCAGGAACCATGCTCAAAGGAAACATGGACTGGAAGAGTGGCACTACAGATTGTAATTCCATCTCTCAGCAACAATCACTCTAAGCTTCGTTCCCTTCTGGGAATGCAGGATTGCCGAATTCATCCTTAGATTTTATCTTTAGACCTTACGTCAAAAGCTTGCATGAAAGAACAATTTTCATTTGGAAAGTTTCAAATGAGAATGCTTATTTGACAAACTCACTCTTGGTGTACTAGAACCAGTGAAACTACAGAACATACCTACGCATTGGCCATTTCTGCCTGTGTATCCATCTGGGCAAGACACACACTCGTAAGAGCCAGGATTGTTAATGCATCTTCCAGACGGACATTTGTTGGAATCCTGGCATTCGTCAATGTCTGTGAATTTAAACAGATCACAGAGTAAATTCAGCTGACATTTGAAAAGGCTTCAAGTTCAATTTTAGTGTTCTGAAATAACAGAAAAGAGTGACATTTTAAAGAGACAACATCCCATTTCCTTAATTGTTAGGTTGCAGTTCAATTGCTGAAAAAATTGCTGAACTCTTAAAAGACTTGGTTATTACACTACGAGTATTTTGATGGCCCATGAGGATCAGATTTCTGATGGTTCTCAACGACACATCCAGGGCCGGTATAATTTTAACATTCATTTTGGTGTTCAGGGCTGATGTTGGGTAGGCGATAATGTCCCAGACACTTCGCTGGGGCAGTTCCATACAACACCATCGGAATTCATTCCATTTTCCACTTGGTTTCACCACAGATCCTACTGCATTGATCAGTGGCTGAGACCCAAGGGAGAATTTGCTGAGAGCCGTGAAGGTCCGTCACTGAAGAGGTGCCGGTTTTCTTGAAGCTGGGATCCTGGTGAATTTGCCAAGCGTTTGGGGCCAATCACAGCAAGACTCGAGGTTCTGAAGCTGACACGACTAATGAGACTCTGGGAGAGACGTCCAAACAATCATTAGCAACGAGCGGGCTGAGAGCTGCTTTCGTAAACTTTGTGAAGCAGAAGTGATTAGAATTGCCTGCTTAGTGATAATAGTGGCGGAGAAATTAGTTATGGTGGAGGTTGGGAGGGAGGACATAAAAGACCATGGCAGCATTTCTTCCACTCCACAACCCTTACCACACCCCATTCTCATGCCTTTGATTTCACTTTTGGCAATAGTTTTTGGGTGTGCATGTCTTTTGTTTATTTTTCTACATAAGATTTTCAGATTAATTTTCAGTCACTCCCTGTAATTCTCTTGGCTCCAGAGCAGCGACTATGACACAACAACGAGTGGCTCGGAGACAAGATTAAATTGGACACATACTGCTGCTGTGATTTTTCAAAGAAATTATCCTCCCCTGCTTTCCATACTCCTCCATGTCTTTATAACCATCATCTAATTCTATTTCCAAAACAATGCAAAGTGAAGGTTTGCGTGAAAATATTCGCCCTTATTGGCAGAACCTGAAAATTTATACTCTAAGATATTCTTAGGACACTTAAAAGGAATTGAAGACAGACCCACCTTCACACTGGCCTCTGTTCATTTTATATCCAGCATCACAGAATTGGCACCTGTAGGAGCCTACAACATTAATGCAATGACCATCTCCACAGATATTGGGCCTCAGGCACTCGTCAATATCTTGAAAGGAGAAAGAAGTTTATTTGCGTTTAGTTGCAAAATAAAATTTGCATCCAGCACGATTCACCTTGCAACATCTATTTAACAGCGCATGCAGAATGTATGTCCAGCATTGTATCAGTGGTATTATTTATTCTGTGCAATAAAACATTTCGGTTAAAGGATCTCTTACTGCCTTGGCAGACCATGCTATAAGATCAAGAGTAGCATATTTTACCAAATACAGACATAAAGAGTGTAACTTCTACTGACCACTGTTTTTAAAGAAATGACATAAATTCCTGCTTATGCTCTTTCAAAGTTGTCAACAGTCCTTCTAAAATAGACAGGTTAACAATTGGGTAAAATTACTGAGGAATAAAGACTTAATGTCAATACATTCACCAGCATGCTAAAACATGTGAGCATTGGAAATAAACCTCTTACTAAATTCCATTGGCACCAAAGGAAAATCCATCCACTTGTGCTTCAGTGAGTTTATCTTTGTTTGTCAACTGGTGGCTAATTTTGACAGTGTAGAGGGAGAATTGACAGTGAAAGTATCCACTGAGTTAACAAGTGGTGATTCCCAAAAGACAAGGACCGGGAATTTTCCTGAGGTTCTCCTACTCCATATCATATGTGCCCTGACAAGGCGATTTACACCAAGCTTCCAATGGCAAGTGAGAAATTCCCCAGGGAAATTCTCATGATAAGCTCTTGACATATCGTTCGCCATGTTTCCCTGTTAAACTGGAACAGGCAATTTGATCAAATAAAGGTATGGGCTATGTTTGAGGCTTGGTAGTGGTTCAAACTCCCTTGCTGTGTAATTAAAATCATGGAATCCCTACAGTGCGGAAAGAGACCATTTGGCCCATCGAGTCTGCACTGACCCTCCGAAGAGCACCCCACCCAAACCCAGACCCCCGACCCTAACCCCGTAAACCCACATTCACCATGGCTAATCCACCTAGCCTGCACATCCCTGGGCACTATGGGGCAATTTAGCGTGGCCCCACCTAATCTTTGGACTGTGGGAGGAATCCGGAGCACCCGGAGGAAAACCACACAGATCATGGGGAGAATGTGCAAACTCCACACATTCACCCGAGCACGGAATCGAAGCCGGGTCCCTAGTGCTGCAGTGCGAACCACCCTTGTAATCTCACCAACATGTCAAGCATTACCAGAGCATTCTGTTCCTCCGTCTGATGTGAACCCGTGGTGACAGAGGCAGCGGAAGCTTCCCACTGTGTTCTTACAGTGTCCGTGGGAGCATGGGCGTTGGTCCTGGGCACATTCATCTACATCTGTAACAGAAAGACTGCAGTCAGCAGAAGGAGTAAATTACATTAGTCCTGCTTTGGCGTTGGGCTTCAGAATGGGAGGAATTCACTAAGAGCATCAACAAAGTGAGGCCTGGTCCACATTTCTGGGATTCTATTAAATGTCCAGGCACTGAGTGACTCCTGCCCTTTGTCACGGTGATGGTCACTGACAGACACATGCAGAAGATGACAGGGCTGCAGATGATCATCAGGGCCCTGAGGAAACTGTGCATGGGCAAAGTTAGCAATGGGGCTGGAGATTGACTGAGCTAGAGGGAACTTAAGGTTTCTTTGATAGCAAGTTATTCAGACATAACTCAGTGGGTAGCACACTTACCTCTGAGTCAGCTGTGCACTCCATGAGCGGAGTATAAAATCGAGACCGACCCTCCAGTGCAGTACTGACAGTGCTGCATTGTCAGAGGTGCACTTTTCAGATTCAATGTTAAACTGAGGCCCCCATCTCCCTACTTAGGTGGAAGCACCTCATGAAAGGAGAACAGGTAATTAGACCGCACTTGTCTTAATCTATTTTCATCCTTAAGCACTTAAACAGGTCATCCTCTCTGCGCAGTTTGCAGGAGCTTCCCATGCATGAACTGACTGTCACATTTCCTACATTTAAGTAGGACACGACAAAAAGGACTTGAAACATGGTAAAGCACTTCAGGCCAGCCAGGATTGTGTAAGTCACTATATAAATGCAGGGTTTTCTTTCCTTTCTGATTAACCATGATGCCAGCTGTTTCTTTAGACCAACCCAATGTGTATCTGCTACACGGTAACATTGAATGAACACCATCTGATTAATCAGTACAACTCAATTTGAGAGGCAAAGATTAGGTTTACCAGACTGACGCCTGAAATGGGTGCTCATGAGAACACATTGAATGGGCAAAGTTTGTATCCCTTGGAGTTTAGAATTGTAAGAGGTGACTTAATTGAACATTTAAAATCCTGAGAGGTCTTGGTAGGGTGCATGTGGAAAGCATGCTTCCTCTTGTGGGAAAATCTGGAACTAGAGTTCACTGTTTAAAGATAAAGGGTCACCCATTTAAGACAGAAATAAAGACATACTTTGCCTCGCAGAGGATCATGAGTCTTTCAAATTGTCTGCCTGAAGATCATAGAACAGTGTGGAAGCAGGTCTTTTGGCTCATTGAGCACACACTGACCCTGGGAACAGCATCCCACCCAGACCCTGTCTCTGTAATCCTGCATTTCCCATGACCAATCCACCTAACCTCACATCTATGGACTGTGGGAGGAAACCCACACAGACACAGGGAGAACATGCAAACTCCACACAGACAGTCACCCGAGGGTGGAATCAAACCCGGGTCCCTGGTGCTGTGAGGCAGCAGTGCTACCCACTAAGCCACAGTGCCACCCCATGGGAAGGCACTGGAAACAAAGTGGTTGAATATTTTTCAGTCAGAGGTAGATGGATTCTTGAGAAGCAAGGGGGTGAAAGGTTATTGCAGGTAGGTGGGTGGACTGATCAGATCAGCCACAATCATGCTGGAACAATGCACCAGGCTCAAGCACCCTCATTCCAATGTTTGCTCATCCATGTGTGACCTAGGAATTCTACAGATTCTGTCACACTTCCTGAGAAATGACCATGGGTCAGCAGGGAGGCAGATGCAGAGTCTTCCATCTGCCTCAAAGATATCTGGCACCCCCATACAGCTAAGCACCGGTGTTGGTATAACTGGTGTTGGCATTGATCCATAACGTCTGAAAGCTGGTTTCACCTCCTTTTTGAAATGACACCATTTTGACCAATGGGAAGAGCTGTCCAAGATAGCAGAGAAGACCATGGTCTGTTTGATCATCTCAAACAAGAGCCAGAGAGAGTGTGTCGGGCTGCACAGTTCCTGTTCTGCAAAGCTATGCCTGATCCCTGGATTATCTGCCCCTTTGTTCATGCCTGTCTATCTCCTTGCCTCTCTTTCTTAAACTTGTCACAGATTCGTAACAGGTTGAGATAGCTACTTAGGCTTGCTAAAGACTTTGACATGTACATCAGCCTATTGGAAAATACCCCATTAATTGTGCCATGCCCTCAAATTTCACATCCACATAGTCTTCTGACACCTGCTGTATCTGTCTGGATCAGCACCTTGAATCTGTCCTGATTGAGGTGCCTGCAGAAAATAGGATGCGACCAACATATTTCTACTTCAGTCCAAAAACTGCCAAGAGCCGGTCTGCTACAATGACACCCAACGAGTAAACTGCATGCTGTAGTGTTTTACCAATGCAAGCAGTTTTCACTGCGTTGAGCTGGTAGCCAGGATTACAGTTACACGTGTATCCCTCTGGTAGATTGATACATTGGCCAGGTCCACAGATTCGAGGATCAACCGAGCACTCATCGATTTCTGAAAATCAAACATTCCACATTTCAGTAAATTGGTAAACATATTGAAGCTGCTTTAGTTTATTGTACCACAAATCTGTCATGAAATATCTTGGTATAATAAAGGGAATTTTTATAAATACAACAACTACTTGTATTTATATAGCATCTTTGGTAAAATGTCCAAGCATTTGTCTGTACAAGTGTGAATTGCATCAATTCGCGCCTTGATAAAATGTGTTGCATGGCAATGCCGGTTCACTACACTGTATGAGTTGCTCCTCATGGTAAGAATTGCTGCCGTCATCCTATTTAAGTGTAGGAACTTACAGGGCCTACTTGGTCCAGCGTGGTAAAGGAAAACTGCTTCCTGGTCTAACTAGGAGAGTCTTTCACAGTTAAAGAGATATAGTTTATTACACCAGTTACAGCTCACATTGACATAATAGACATTGATACAGAGACTTCTAACAGGACCTGATGTTAGGTCACACTCCTTCAAGTCCCTGCCCACAAATTCCTGTGACATCAGCAGAGTGGGTGGTGCTAATAGAACGCCACAGTGTTAACCCTTTCAGACCTTTCTACAACAAAATATATTTGAAATATTGAACTCAACTCTCAATATGTTTCCTTGGGATGCCTTAACAGAGCCAGTGTTAGCAGTTATAAAATTCAATGGCAATATGAAATGAATGGCTGTGATTTATATCAAGTCTACAACAAAGGAGGCCTAATAAAAATGGAAAGAAGTGCAGATGCTGTAAATCGGGAACAAAACCAGAAGATGCTGGAAAGGCTCAGCAGGTCTGGCAGCATTTGTGAAGAAGAAATCAGAGTTAAGGTTTCGGGTCTGGTGACCCTTCCTCAGAACTTCTGAGCAACAGCAGTTTGGCTAATCCCACTCTAACGCCCTTTCTCCATTCCTCACAATGTCTTTCCTCAGCAGCTTATCCAAATCCCCTTTGAGAGCAAGGAAAGAATTGACCCCTACCATCTTTTCCGGTAGTGCATCCCAGATTTGTAACTACTTGCTAAAAAAAAACTCTTCCTCAACTCACCTTTGTTTATTTTGCCAATCACCTTAACCTGTTGTCCTCTGGTGCCTGACTCCTGGGCCAATGGAAACAACTCCTCTCTGACTAATCTTCTATCTTTGCACCTCTGTCTCAGCAAAGTGGACCAAAGTATCCAAACTTTGATAAGTTTGCAGAGGACAGGGAAATGTTACGGTGTGTCATGCAGAAAATCTGCCTTTTTGTCTCAGTTGTAAATTAAGTGGAAGCTGTTTGAATGCTCACTGAATTGGAAGCTTGCCAAAGATGGTGGTATTGATTGGTTGATTGATTGTTGTCACATGTACCAAGATACAGTGAAAAGTGTTGCTTTGCATGCTATACAGGCAGATCGTACCAAGCGTATAAGGGTAGCAGAACAGAGTGGAGAATACAGTGTTACAGCCGCAGAGAAGGTGCAGAGAGAGACAGATCAGTAATAACATTTAAGGGGTCCGTTCAAAAATCTGATAACAGTGGGGAAAAAGCTGTTCTTGAAGCTGCTTGTACGTGTATTCAAACTTTTATATCTTCTGCCTGATGGAAGACGGTGGAAGAGAAAATAACTGGGGTGGGAGGGGTCTTTGATTGTGCTGGTTGCTTTCCCAAAACAGCAGGAAATATAGATGGAGTCAATGGATGGAAGGCTGGTTTGCATGATGGACTGGGTTATGTTCATGACTCTCTGTAGTTTCTTGCGATCTTGGGAAGAGCAGTTGCCATACCACATTGTGATGCGTCCGCATAGGATGCTTTCTCTGGTGGATGTATAAAAATTGGTAAGAGTCCTTGTGGCCATGCCGAAGTTCCTTAGGTTCCAGAGGAAGCAGAGGCATTGCTGTACTTTCTTGACTGTTGCATCGATGTGGGTGGACCAGGATAGATTGCTGATGATCATTCCTTCCAGGAACTTGACACTTTCAACCATCTCCACCTCAGCACCATTGATGCAGACAGGGGTGTGCCCTCTACTCCACTTCCTCAGGTCAATGACCAGATTTGTCGATGTTGCTGGAGAGAATAATGTCTTTACACCATGCCATTAAGCACTCAATCTCTTTTCTATATTCTGTCTCGCCGTTGTTTGAGACCCGGTCTACAATGGTGGCATCATCAGCAAACCTTGTAAATGGAGTTGGGTGGAATTTGGCCACACCAACTCCATAGTTACACTGTCCCTGGCATCAAATCTTCCTGCAAAGCTGAAATAAGCAAGGGATTCACCTTTCTCACTGATTTATAATATCACGTTGTAGTCACAGAATCAAAATGACTTTTTTTTTGGCAAATGTTGAGTTTAACCATCGGAGCCCGACGAGATGACATATTTAATTTTCATGGCAGCCTTAGAGGCCACAGTTGAATGGGTTTACCAGATGATTTACTGGAAGAATCTGGGCCAGTCCCGCTGCAGGTTACGATGCAAACAGTGCCCAGAATGTTGATCTTCCTTCACAGCATATGCATCAAGTCCCAACATCCTGAACTCCTTGACTTCTCTCAAATGGGCTGATGACACTGCCAATGAAGTTAAATTGCAGTTTTGGAAAATAAACGCTCCATTAAAGCAATCATTGTTATGGTTTGCTGCAAATGAAACCAACACTTCAAAAAGGCAGCATACTGTCTATTGTATTCCCCTACACTCCAAAATACCACATTCTTCAAGCTTCCCCGGTGCCATTCCTGTTACAGTTTTACGCGAGAGAGTTTGGTCTACTTTGGAAATTTATGAATGGTGATTCACAGTTTCAGTTATTGGCTGAAAGCTCCACAGTCAGACTGTTACAAGGGCTTTAGCCAAGAGGATTCCGGCGAATAATCTAAATAAATTCAATATTATTGGTATTACTTGCACCCCAATGCTGTTTTTTTTTGGGATGGCGAAAACGATATTCTGACCAGTTTGCAATGAGTCAACACTAGGGAAGATTTTGTATCTTGTACTATGCAGGAAAGCAGGTCCAGGCCAACTTTCATCCCATATGCTGAGGTGTGTGTGACACAATCATGAACATAACCGACTTTATATGAACACAAAAATCAATACATAAATCCTTGAAAGCCAATTAAAGAGCAAGGAAAATTGTTAATTTATAATAAAGGCATATAAAATAAATGCACCCTACAAATCCAGTGCACAATGCTACAGGGTATAGTGCAGTTAACCTCACTTGCAGTAAAGCCCATTTAAGATTGATGCTGATAAAATCGAGATCTAGAACAATGTTTCATATACATAAGCATTCCTGTTGGCGCTAATGTATACAGCAAATCACATAAAAATCAAAGCTATCATTGCCAAAATATTATTTTGGATTAGCTTTCTTCCCTCGCTCCCATTTGAGATTCTGGTTACACAAACATTCAATACTTTCTCTACAAATGAGTGGGTAAATTCAAACACTCTGCATTATTTAGAAAACTTGTGTAAACTTGTGTTCTCTGTCATGGTATCTTCCCAATCCTGGTTGTGCCATTAACGTATGACGGCAGGTTGAAGAAGAGAGAAAATCCAGACATAATGTACAGTCAGGGGCAGCACTGACAGTAAGATCCCTGTATAAGGGAGCAGGACAATAACATCTGTATCCTGTTCTGGCAGGGCTCAAACATTCTGGAGAGAGGTACACTTCTGAGAATTACCTCTTAGGATTATCAAAAAAAGAGAGTTCAGGAAATGTTTAGACATGTAGGGAATTGTAATTACCTACTGAGTCACTTTGGGGCCAATTTTCCAATTAGTTGCTGGCGGCAATGGGAATGTCAGTCGCAGATTTTCATCAACAGAGAATTACAGGCAGTGCACTCATCTTTTGCTGACATCCTGTGCCAGCAGTCAATGCTACCCAGCTACCAGAAGGTTCCTCTGAAAGGTCCTTGGGCATGATGGCATTGCATTTGATTCAATTCCTGCTTTTGCCTCGGAAGCAACTAAAAGAGTTCTGAAAACAATACAGAATCAATCGTGTGCAGCACAGAGAGTCGCACAAAGAAGAACAGCATAGAAGGACCGGCTGTTAGGGTGGAAGGAATAAGGCTGTGTGCAGAAACGTGTCAACAAGGACCAGCTGGGCTGAATGGCCTGTTTCTGTGCAATACCTGATTTTAGTCAGCGAGCAATACTGCCATAATCAAAACAGAAATTGCTGGAAAAGCTCATCAGATCAAGTGACCATTCCTCAGAAAGGTCGCTTGACCCGAAACGCTAACTCTGATTTCTCTCCACAGATGCTGCCGGACGTGCTGAGATTTTCCAGCAACTTCAGTTTTTGTTTCTGATTTACAGCATCTGCAGTTCTTTTGGTTTTTACTGGTACAACCAAGTTGGCAGCAACTGTAGAGCAGTGCTCCCCAAGCGTTTTGTCATTGTGACTCCATTTCGAGGCTTGAATACTGTCTCTGTTGTGATACTACAGATCCCTATGGCATTGCAGGTGTAAATGATATTACATGTGTTTATAATATTGCATGTATCCATGATTTCCATGTATCGATAATCAGACAAACAGGTATCTTTAAGAGAGTTAAATGATGAAATCAGCGACATCATGTCATGTGTTACTCTTCTCGAATTGCTATTGCTATACTTTTTCAGGAAAGTAGTTAGTCAACAAGGCTGTTAAGAGATAGAGCCCAGAGCATATATGTGTCAGCAATAGCGGTGTAATGAATTTAGTTGCTCTGTGGATAATTCTTCTGATTCTTGTTCTCAGCAAGAACAGTGTTTATGTTACCAGGGCTAACAGTTACAGAACACATCAGTCACGACCTCTCATCAATGGGAATGATGGGAGTACAGGAACGGGCGGGAGTTGGGAAAGCGTGGGGGTGAGAGTGCTGGGGAGGGAGATCCCATTGAGAGTAGGGGCTGTTAGTGCTGGAGGGCAGCTGTTGTAACTCAGCCAGAGAACTGCAAAGACCATTACTGTCTTGGAGCTCTTTTAGCAACATTTCAGCTCACCAT